ATGAACAGCGTTCAATCTTAGGAGCACGCTCAGCCATGTGGGACTTTGTGCCACTATTGGAGTCGAGGAAACTCATGCGTATATCAAGTGTGGCCGTTTCATGTAAATAGTTGTATGCCTGTATAGATACAACCTCGCAAGCCAGGGTCTTTTACCTGCGCTCGGGCTCCGGCGAAGACCCTGGTTCCCTCTGGTCACGTGAACCCCCAGATTTTAGGGGTAATTCGAATTGCCGCCTCTTTGCCACGTAGGGAGGAGTGGTAGGGGGAATTCAAGAGCGAAAACTAAAAATCAATAACTATGCCTATGGAAAATACGGCCATTTACGCTCTGTATTAGCCTGCTCGCAGGCCGTTGTCAGGCAGAGGCTGCACGAGGAACGGCCTGCGACCTTTATTAGTAAAAAGTCGATTTATGCGTACGGAGCGTACGCAAAATTCCCATTGGTCAGAAGTGCCCCATGAGTTAATATCGTGCAAATATTTAACTCGTACGACATTTCGCGATGTAATTTTAAAGCTGGCATTCAATCAGTGGCGTATAAAACCATGACTTTGTTTATCTCTTCGAAGAAGTATTAAACTGAATGTATTTGAGAAACCTTTCAATTTAAATTAACGTTGAAGGATGAGCGAAGGTTAGCAATATTAACTGTACTTCCAACGGGATTTGATAAAAGTTTACATGTAATATACTGATACTTTGTCTTCGTCAGCTATAATAATAAACCTTTTCCAAAGAAGTACAAGGGAAAACTTCGATGTATGCCTTGCTGATCTTTGCAGAGAGAGTAAAATAAGGCTAGTTCAGGCTGACAATTTATCTAACTGCGTTTGCATCACTTGCGGTTTCAAACGTTGAAGTGAACAACTTAAGGTTAGCCCAGCGAGACGTTCGTTGAGTCGACACAGGCAGTGAATCAGCTAGTATAAAGCAGTTGATTGTCAAATGCCTCCGAACATTTCTCCCAAATACTTCCCTGTCAACTCAAGGCTTTCTGCCTAAACAATCTGGTCTTGAATAAGTCAAGACAATGGGCAAATTATTAAAACAGACGCCGTCGAGGAAAGTCGTTCTTAGAACACCTGGCCAATTTGAATTTACACCTGGAAATTTTGCAATAGTCGTTTGCGTGTTTTTTGACCGAAGTCCGCTCTCTCTTTGAGACTTTATTTTTGGGAGTCTCAACTAGTGACATATATTATTATAACAAGAGCTTTTTACAAAAAAATGTAGTTATTAAACACGGCAGAATCGATGCCACGGCCACGGGTTTTCAAATTGTCTATTGTCTATTGAGTTAATTGTATTATCAGTTGAGCAAATGACAGACTTCACGCAATAATGATTAATGTTGTTTTTTAGCCTGCTATTGTTCGACACTTTTAATAAATAGTGTTTGTTACTTTGTTCAAAACCTAAATACGTTTCCTTAAATCTTACAGTTATATTTTGGATATAAATAGAGAGTAAAATTTTACGTCTCTGTAGTATAGTTACATAATTTAAAACGGCAATGTACGAACAAGACAGCAATATACAAACGGGACTATGTTTTAAATATTAGAACACTTTAGGGAAAAAACGACCATGAATTATTTTAGATTAAAGTTTAGACTTTGGAATCCTAGTGAAAGATACAGGCGTAAAATTGCGCGAGAAACTGTTTGTTGTTGTTAATAACCTCTGGTAATCTAATTAACAAAACTTGCTTTGATTGGCTATTATTTACCGGATATTCAATTATCTCAAAGGGGGCGTATTGAAAAAATATCAATAAAAGTCGCAGGCTCTATAATAGAGCCTGTGAGCAGGCTAGCTCTGTATTAACTCATGTTTTGGGTTTTGTCGGTTTTTGTGTTATCTTTTATGAAATATGTCACCGCTTGAAAGCTTTTTACACCTATTTGATATAATTTGCATGGCTGGAGGTCTGTTTTACACCTGGAAGTGGAGCCATTATCTATCAACGCAAAGAAAATAAAGCATTAAAGGTCAAATGCACACTTATACAAAGTCAAAGTACAGTATTCAGTAGCTCTCAAGCTATGGCACAGCGAAAGGAAACTCCAAAAATGATTTATCCGAAGTCCGCTTTGTTTTCGGAATGCAAGTGTCACCTTTGTGGTAGTATTATCGGCAAGAAGTATTGCAACCGAACCTATTCTTAGAGGTAGCTGTATAGCGAAATAAAAACCTGCTTCGTATCGCAGAATTTGTGAATTGTGAAATTCTTGCGTGTGATGTCCGATCGGATGACGGATTTTCTAATCTTCCTAAATTAACATTAAATTAAAAGAATGGAGGCCAAAAAAAAACACCCAAGACAGTGAAGTCAATCGAATGTTTATTTAATATTAAAGCAGAGCGACTGGAGGGATATCTGCAGAAATGATAAACAACTTCGAGTCAAGAAGGCATCCTCTCACAAGCACAAAGTTCAGAGAAAATGTACATGGTGATGTTATTTTATCTCATCTCTTGGAATTGAAACCATTTGCAATACATGATCACTTTCATGAAAATTTCTTCACAGATATATCATCAGATACATTAGCAACATTATAGACAAATTGTCGCTGCATTTGATGACTAGCTAAACAATCGCAAGAGGAACATTCACCAAGCACTTATACCAGTGGACACATCAGAAGATAAAGAGGAATTATTATGACTGTGAATACTGTAACACTTGCACGAATAAGCAACAATGATTTGTATGGCTGTAGCACAGGCTACAAAACTATACCTTAGCTTGAAAGGATTAATAGATGCACAAATCAAATGGCACTTGTTCTATACTATAATGCAGCTATTCCAATGATTAAGGTTAGTGTCACAGACAATAGTTAAATGTACAATTGAACGCTAAAAAAGATACTATTTTAACACATCCATAGCCTCATGGGAATACAAATTAAATTGGTAGTCATAATGTATTTGAGGTGTTAAACTTATTGAAAACTATCATTATCCATTAATCATTTAGCACTCATATTATTGTACATCTAACTATTGTCTGTGTCAACTTTAATTGAAATAGCTATATGGTTACAGTATACTGTATATATACATATATATATAATATTCAATTTAGAATTTTGTTCTGGCACTGCTGTATGGGTTTTTGTACTGTCCATGAAGTAAATTGAGTTTATATGATTTTAATTTGTGATTAATTGTGTATTCATTTGGTACCAAGCAAAGTGAAGAATATTTCACAGGCCCAAAATATTTGTCTAATCAGGTAAAATCATTCCCTTTCCATATATAAACTACACTCAACACATAAACATTGTGTTTTGCATACAGTACAGCATAAATTGGGTTGCAAATGTCCCTCAAAGCATCAATATCAGCCGTGCTTGTATCTGATGCTTTTTTGTAAAAGATCTCATCATATCTTTCGGTCAGAATTTGCAACCAACTCAAAGCAAACATGCAAGCCAAGCGATTTTTTTATGTGCCTTCGGTCAAGTTTATATGCTGTAGCGGTCATGCAATAACGACTGGTACGTTATAAAATACAACACACAACTCAGACTACGTTTGGCATCATAGTGAACAAAGTTGAGATAACAATATAATGGATGATTGAAAAATAACATGTAGAATTAGTTTTGTCTTTTGGTTAAGTTCAGCTACATCGCAATCAATCTCTTGGTTGTCACATTTTAATGGCTGCTGAAAAACATTTATTGTATTTATACATGTAAAACCTTTTTAAATTCATATCTATCTAAACGATCTATCTCTGATACTCTGAGTTTTATCGCGCATAATTTTCGAGCTGGATTGTTTATCAAAGGCGCGTTCGCGATATATTGTAACGAGCAGCATTACTCATTTACACAAACGCCATGAGTTGGACGTTCTTCTAACGCTCTTTTAGCGAAAAGCATCAAAGGCAAAAGCTGGTAAATCAGCGACTCGCCATATTACCGATTGGAAAAATTGCCAGTATATACACGCCAAAGGACAGCTTTTCCAAGCAAATAACCTGCTTGGGCTTCAAAATAGTGTTTGCATACAAAATAATAGAAAACTGCAAACAAAGAAAAATAATACATTTTGAATGTTTTTGCATATTACAATTCACTCCTCGGCTAGGCTTGCAAACACAACATTTAACCGGAAGTTGTAAATTACAACATATCACATTTCAACCACCCTCCCCTAGGACTTCTTGTTGTCATAATTTTTAGGAGGTCACGTGACCAGAGGGAACCAGGGTCTTCGCCGGAGCCCGAGCGCAGGTAAAAGACCCTGGCTTGCGAGGTTGGCGTCGCAACCTAGGATCCAAACATCTGACAGGCATGCTACTTGTAAAGTTGTGAATTAGGTATAAACAAACCTGTAGCCAAATTTATCTATTAGTTAGAATAGGATTATGATTGGATGGAATAGGATAGGATATGATTTGATTGAATAGGAATGACTGGATAGGATAGGATTGAATAGACTAGGATTTGATAAGATAGAGTCTAGGATATGATTGGATAGACTAGGATGTGATTGGATAGACTAGGATGTGATTGGATAGAATAGGATGTGATTGGATAGAATAGGATATGATTGAGTGGTATTGGAGTGTATACTGTAAGATTGGTTTGGATTGTATCCTATCGAGTGGTATTGGATTGTATAAGATAGGATTGGATGGGATAGGATAGGATAGGATAGGATAGGATAAGTACAGTAAAGGATGGAATAGCTAACTCCACCGTATCAATTTAAAGGAAATTTATATGTTCGAATTCCTAGGTGTTGGTGTAGATAATGACAAAATCTTAGTATTGGGAGCAACAAACTTACCATGGATATTGGATTCAGCTATACGTCGAAGGTTTGTTCCATTGAAGGATATTATATGCATGATAAGTCGATTTTTGTAAGTCATTACGTACTCCCATATACAATTTTGTGTACTAACGTTTTCAGCCAATTAAAACGTTCATTCGACTTCTTTGATATCGGAATCGGACAAATTCTGACAAACTTGAAATTTCCGATTATGTCACGATCGGTTAATAACTGGGTTTTGGGCATCTACTCTCGATATAACTAAATGTAGAAGGGTTTTATAGATGGTAATTTCGAGTGTGGATCATAATGGATTATTTGCATTATAGACTAAATTTTGATCTAGACAAAAATTTTATCACAGCTTGAAAGAGCATCACAAAATTAGTAATATTCCAAAGTTTCGTTGCGAAATGTTGTAAAATGCGGAAAATCCAAGGCTATATTATCCGCATTTTACAACATTTCGCAACGAAACTTTGGAATATTACTAATTTTGTGATGCTCTTTCAAGCTGTGATGAAATTTTTGTCTAGATCAAAATTTAGTCTATAATGCAAATGGTCCATTCAGTGGTGGCTAAATTACTTTGAATTTGTACTCGAGTAAAAGTAGAAGTAATTAACAATAAAACGACTTGAGTAAGAGTAAAAACTACTGGAGGCAAAACGTACTTAAGTAAAAAGTACAAAGTATCCTTAAAAAATACTTGAAGTAAAAAGTAAAAGTAAAAGTACTATTGTCTGTAGCGTGTAAGGGGGGGGGGACTTCTCCGATGGATTGACATACAAAAGGCACAAAACAGCACACGCATTATATGCGTGCACCTAATATACAATATTTCATGGCATGGTCTACTTTGCAGACCCCGTTTAAGATATAAGAAATCCATTAAATAAATAATGTTTATAAGTAAGTCACAAACGAGAGATCCCAGACGCTTGTAGAGGTCCTATTACCTATCCCAAAATTAAAATAAATCCGGAATAAATCACATAAAATAAAAACAAAAGTTAGAAAGTAACGAAATACGTACATACTTCGCCACAAAATGAGAATAACCAAGTAAAACGTTACTTCTTAAAACGACTTCGTTCCAAGTAAAAGTACTCCAGAAAAAGTTTACTTTGTTATCAATAAATATTTAAAAATAGTACTCAAGTACAGTAACGAAGTACATTTACTTCGTTACTTGCTATTCTTTCGATTGCAGTCAGAGGACCTATATGATTGCATTTTCCGCAATTGCTCCTGGTTAGGCTTAAAATGTATAAAATTCATCTAGAAAACCTACGATGTATATAAACCCAAATATATATATTTGCTGCCAACGCAATAATCTGCGTCACTGTCATTTGTTTCGAACAGATTTGAGAAACGGATATACATTCCTCTGCCGGAGGTGTCAGCAAGAGTGAAAATGTTTGAACTTCATATTGGGAAAAGTGGACATGAGTTAAACGCAAACGATTTTAAAGATCTAGCAAGAAAAAGTGAGGGGTAAGTCTCAAACGTCGGCAGCAAATTTTAAATTTATTTATATCACGACTGTTTGTATCATCCTAGGTTCAACAGACAAATTTGGCTAACGTTTGTTTAAACACAATTCACAATTCATTGAGACATGGTCTGGAAACTCAGTTAACTTCAAAGCGGTTATAATGAGCTGGGAGTTTATGTTGAGGCGTACCTTACACCGTGCACATCCTTTGTTTTAGGTTTATTAATATTTAAATAGCATGGTTGAATAACTGAACTGAAACGTTACTATTGGATGATTCGTTCATTATATGTGTTCATTGACCGTACACCGTGCACAAAACTGCATAAACGCGAACAAGAAGATAGAACAAAGACTTTAGCGGAGTTTCCAAACCATGTTTTGAAAGACTATGCTTTAGATCACTCACACGCCTAGTTAGTATTGCTATACAGGGTGTCCCCCCAAAAGTACCCTCTATAGAAACTATCCTATTGTTATAATTTGAATGCCTGAGCACTATGCTGGACACAAGAGTGCGTAAACACAATTGAATTGAATTTT